GTGCCCCCCCCGCACCCGTGGAGCTGATGGTGCCCCCCCTACCCTCTGGTTGCCCCCCCGGCCTCTCTGCCCCCAACCCCCCCCTGGGCGGACGAAGAGACAACGACAGGAACAGCGATACCAACGAGGGGGGGCCCGGCAGAGCCCTTCCCATCCTTCGAGAGGGGCCCGACATGCCGGGGGAGGGGGCGGACCCTCCTCTGGCGGGGTCCCGTCTGTGCTGAAAGACCGGGGGGGAGGGATTGGGAGACAGTGAACCTCCCCCCCACCTCAGTTGCGGGATGGAGGTCGGGTCCCCCCCTTGGGTACGACCCCTCTCCCAGACCCTCCTGTATGGGGTTCCCCATTCTCTGCCCGAGGCTCTGGGAGCAGCAGCGGACCTTCCCCCCCTTCCCCACCCCCCAGTCCCAGGTGGAGGGTGGGGATGTGCAGCCCCCACCCCCCCAAAAGAAATACCCTCATTGTGTGGGGGTGTCCTCTATCTCTGCTGGAATCACACTGGAGTCTCCGGGGGGAGCACAGCGGTCTCCCCCCCTCCTCCCCCAAATCCCCAGGTGTTGGATGGAGATGGGCAGTGCCCCCCCGGACCCTCCAGTGTGGGGGTCCCCATTCTGTGCACGAGGCTCTGAAGGGGGGTGGGCAAGCAGTAGGACCCCCCCCCCCTTTCCCAGGTGTACGGTGGGGATGTGCAATGTCCTCTCAGATCCGCTATGTGGGAGTCCCCATTCTGTGCACGAGGCTCCGGGGGGCAAGCAGGACCCCCCTGCTTCTCAGGTGCACGATGGGGGTGGGCAGTGCCCTCCCAGATCTGCTGTGTGAGGGTCCCCATTCTGTACCAGCTGCTCCGGGGAGGGTGGGGGGGGAGCAGCAGGACCCCCCATCTTTCTCAGGTGTACGATCTCAGGGGATGTGCAATGCCACCCCTCCCTCCCCCGGCAGCGGCTCAGGACCGCCCCCCGGAGCTGTCACTGCTGAGTACGGACCCCCCCCTCCCACCCCCCCCCCGGTATCGGTGTCGGTGCCCCCCCCACTCGTGGCGGCGGTCCGGGATTGGCGCTACGCGGAGGCACCGCCCGGCCCCGAAGTGCCCAACTTTGTGTGCCGTCGCCGCTCCATCACCGCCTCCCCGAACCCAGAGCGCTCCGTCCGTCCGTCCGTCCGTCCGTCCGTCCGTCTGTACGTCCGACCCCGCGGTCGCGATGCTCCGCTGCCCGGTCCGGCCCCGTTCCCTATCGCTGCTCGGGCCGTGGCTGCTGCTGCTGCAGGTATCGATACGGGGGGGTGGGAGGGGTACGGGGGGGCGATCGGTTCCCAGCAGTGAGAGGGTGGGGGAGTATGGGGGGGAGCATCTCTGGGTGGGGGGTCCGTGCTGTGCTGGGGGGTGTCGGGCGGTCACGGAGATGTGGGGCGATTGGTGGGGGCATGTGTGCGGTTTTGAGGAGGGGTCGTGCAATAACATGTGGAGGGAGGGAAAGGTTAGCAGGATGGGAACGATAGAGTTGGGGGGGGAGGGCACGGAGCGGTGGATGCACAACGGAGGGGGGGTCCGGAGAGCCCCGAGTTGGCGGCGTTCGGGGCCGTTCCGGGCGGAGTTGGGCCGGGGGGGGGGGGCAGAGCTCTGTGAACCCCCTCCCATTAAACATACACAGCGATGAGGGCAGAGGGGCTGGGGGGGGTTCACATCCGTATTCCCACGCCCGCAGTCCCACGTACCGAACTGTGGTTGATCCCCCCCCGCCCTTCCCCGACCCCAGCGGCGGCGGCTGATGGGGGGGTCGTTGCTCCCCCCGCGGGAGCCGCGCGGATCCCATTTCCCATCGCTCCATTTTTTACTTTCGCTGTTTCATGAATAAAATGAAACGGAGTCGATTTCTCCCCCTCTCCATCACCCCCCCCCATCTCGGGAAGTGGATACACATACGGACCCCCCCCGCCACTCTAACCCCCTTCCCCTCACGGGGGCTCCCACAGCCCATCCCTGTGCGGATCGGTGCGGTGGATGTGGGGGCGGCTCCGTGTGACCCCCCCCGCCCCCCCCCGTCATTTCTGTCGGTGCTCCGAGACAAATGGGTTTGTTTTGATGGAAGCGGAGCGGGCGCTGCCACTTCCCCCCCACAGCTCTGTCCACAGCCCTACGAGTGCTATTGGGGGGGTCCGCACCCCTCTTAGCATAGAGCCTGGGGGGGGGCACGTAGGGGCGGTGCCTCCCCATCCCCGCAGGAGGATGTGGGGTGCGGGCGCCGCGGGGCACAGAGCATTCCAACCCCCCCCCCAACCCCCATAATAACAGTGGGGGCTGCAATGGTGGGGGCACCGTTCTGTGAGCTCAGAGTTTGAGCTGCTCCGCTCGGACGGTGTTCCCCCCGCCTCCCCCTCCTTCCCCCCCTCCATCCCCCCCACATTGCTGTGTGCCCCATCGGCATGGATGTGCCCCCCCCACACACACAACGCTCCCATGGGAGTTGCTGCCCTCTGGATCATGCCCCCCCCCCTCCGCTCCACATTCACCTGGCTGGCTGGGGGGGTCTGGGTGAGGGGCAGCCCCACTCCCGCAGGTGATCCCCTCCCGGTGTTGCCAAAATGGTGGGGGTCGAGGGGGGGCACCGCTTCGCACCCCATCTGCCCCCACCTGGACCTCCTTTTTGGGGGCTGTGTGTTAAGGGCAGGGGGAGGCAGCCCGGCACTGTGGCTGTGGCCATGCATGGAGCACCACCCACAGCAGTTCCCCCCCCCCCTCCTTTTTTTTATTTCCCCCTCCCCCCCCACTCGTTGCGGCCCCTTTGCTGTCACACGGTGATGGATGGCTGTGGTTCTCTGGTGCGAGGACTCCCCCTCCCAAAAAAAATGCTATCATCAATGGGGATGCAATCATCCCCCCCACCACCCGGGGGGGCTCAGAGAACACCTCCTATAGAGGGGTGGGTGTGAGGGATGTCCCAGTCCTCCCAGCTCTAATTTGGGGGCTCTATGGGGAGGGTGTGCAGATGTGGAGGGTGTGCAGATGTGGTTGAGGCCCAACAAACTCAGTGCAGCTGTGACTGGGACACTGCAGCTCTCAGAGCCTCCCCTCACACACCCCTTATGCTTGCTGAGCAGGGCCCTGCACTGCACCTACTGCCCCAGGAGGGGGGGATCCAGGCCCCCCCCCCCC